GCTCCACAGTCCTGCAGACCTACAGTCCTGAATGTGTACTGTATGAGTCGTTCTGTCGTGTTTAGTTTGTGTTAAAAGTCTGTGATTTTCTCTTTGCTCGGAGGCTGAAGAGAGAATCCACTCGGTGCTGGGGAAGCGCTAATCAGCTCGGAAACATTTGCTGCCCTTCTGGCAAGGTCAGCAGGTCACGGTCCTAGGGCTGGACGTCCACTGCTCCCTCGCTCCTCCCCCTCCTCTGTAAAGCCCGGCCCCTAGGGGCCCATTGGCCCTGCAGGCACAATCACTGCAGCGTGACTATAGGCTCCACAGCCTTTAATCTGCTCTGTCCTGGGATGGACTGCGGCTGTGGATCCACCAAAGACCTGGGTCTGCCCTGACTGGACCAGAGACCTGGACCAGAGGACTGGACCACAGACCTGGACCAGAGACCTGAGCTGGGCTCTGATTGGTCCACACAGGTTCCACTGAGCCCCTCCTGCTGTTTGAGCAGCTGATTGATCTGTTAACTCTGCTGTGTCCCTGAATTTAATTTCAGAATTCATTGTGAAGCAGCAGACCTGCAGCAGAGGCCTCTCCTACAGCTGCAGGACCAGGACCAGGACCAGAACCAGGACCACGAACAGGACCAGGACCAGGACAAGGACTAAAACTAGGACCAGGATCAAAGCACTGCTCTGATGTTTTGATGAAATACATTTGTTTGACACAAACTCACAGATCATGAAGAACATTTGATCTTAAAAACAACTGTTGTTATTCCCACATAAGAATTTGCAAAGTTGGAAATATTAAAGTGAAATAAAGTAATGCAGATATAATAATAATTGTAGTGTTTTAACAAGAGAATCATATTCACACAGATTCACAGTGAGGCTCAGAGGGAACAGATGAAGCTGCTCACTTTCCATCCACAAAAACAGACTCATTATTGTCACATCTTTAAATCTGCTTTCTCAGAGTGAAAATGAGAGGACCCTCCTCACGCTCAGCCCCAGGAGTCAGATAGTGACTCACAGGGTTTTCTTACAAGAATGTTTAAATACACTGCAGCGTGTGATGTGTCTGTTACAGTCTCAGGACGAGCACAGATTATTCAGAAGAAAACAAATAAATAAACCAGCCTTAAGTCTTAGTATTTTAACATTAGCCCATGATCAACAGCACAGATCAGAATAGTGATCTCAGGGGATTTCTATTATTCACTCGACTTTTTAACGATGCAAACAAGATCTAGAAAGTCAATGAGGAAGAAAACATTATAAGAACTTTGCCCAAAAGGCGGTATACCTTTATCAACACCAGACTACTCAATATTTGAAAAGTGAAATGCCTCTTTCCTTTGACTGCATTTTATCGCCTCCTTCCAGTGATCTACCGTTACTTTTACACCTTCTACCTCTCGACTCTGAAGTTATCCACTCCGCAAAGGTGCCTTAACCGCCTCCTGCTTTCATCACTTATCAATACGACGCTTCTGTCAAAATAATAAAACGGCGTGAGAGATGGAACTGGAGGTTAGCTAACCCTGACTCATTTCACAGCTCATAAACACTGCCAGTGTGTAGCTGCCGTAATGTCCACTGTACGGCCAGAAATAGCCATAAAAATCGCACAAAGACGATGAAGTAAACGCGAGACAATGGCCGCGGCGAAGGATGCCTTGCCTGATTTGATGGACTCTGGGTTTTCTCCCCCCTCTGGCGGCCGGAGAGGGGCCACTGCTTGGATATGCATCACAAAGGCTTCCTGCCGTATCGATCGGTGCTGGGTTAAGGCAGTCTATCAGCAAATGTCCCTCTCTGTGGGAAAAACAATAGGAGATTAAAAACACACAGTCGGGCGGGCGGGAGGCTGCTGATGGGCCCTTATCTGAGGCCCAAAGGTCACTGTGTACAGATATAATCCACTTTCACTTAACAGCTTCATTTAAAGCACCTCACATGCAAATAATGGCATTGGAGGCGCTCCTTCAGAGATAAACGCACTTGAGAAGGCAGCGAGAGGAGCTGGAGTGGTGGGTGTTTTTCCAAGACCGAGTGAGGTGGTGCTTTCATGGACAAGAAGAGGCAAAATTTTTAAAAGTCAACAGAAGACTGCTTCCTGATTCAGACGAGCCCAGAGTATCAAACCGTCCCTTATACAGATCAAAACAGAAGCCACACTGCAAAAAATGATCTAATATGAGGTAGTAAATGCCTAGATTGAAGATTTTTTATCTTAATCTGACACATTCTGACTGTGTTAAGACTCCTCCAATGAGACAAAACCATTTAATCTGATTTCAAGAACTGTTGCTTTATTTTCTCGTTCCAAGGGAGAAATATCTGTATCTTTTTAAAACAAGATTATTTTGTTTTGTCGCATTGGAAAATCTGGTTTTAAGGCGCAGTCAGAATGTGCTCAGATTAATTTGTGGTGTTTTGGACATATTTCTCATGACTTTTTGCAGTGTATTCACATCGGCATGTTGGCTGGGAGTCTTACATGGTGCAAGTTTGACCCACAATGTTCCTAAGACACATTATTATTAAAGGCACACCGCGGACTTTGTGACCTAAAGAGTTGACACATATGAGTTATTTTATATGAATACTTGGGCCAATATACAGCGCTTGACACTTGCAATGCTCCGAGCGGGGCTGCCCTCTTGAAATACCGCCCATGTAAGTTTCGAGCAGACGGACCGTCTGCCACCAGGTCACGTGACTTGGAAGAAAGACTTGCTTTACGGCTACAGGCGCTGATATACTCATGGAGCTAAGGCTTTTGCTACTCATTTTTCACCTGCTCGACTCCTGGTCATGGCTGAGGCAAGGAAAAATTTTAAACCTTCGGAGGAGGCTAAAAAGAGGAAACGCGAAAGGGATCGTGCTGTAAGCTGCATGTCTGTATGAGCGCTGCTCTTCACCTGGTTCCTGGATGTCATCGACTGCAAAGATTTCATTCCACGCAGCACGAGCTAGACGCAGAACTCCCTCATCCAGGATATAGAAGTCCATGTGTGGTAGATTACTAATGCAGCGGTCTGGAGGCTGACCACAGCAGAGTCTCTCAATATCTGTAGGCATGTCTCTACAGTTTGAACACACACACCAGTGCATGCTGTCTGAATACACACTCAAAAGACACCGGCTGACTGTTTGTTGACTTTTGCGACAGTGCTGAGTTGCTTGTGGCCACTAGGGGCGCTAAACGTGAAAGTTGCAGGTCTAGCGCCCCTAGTGGCCAAGAGTTACACGGTGTGCCTTTAAGTGCTACAACAGAAATCCTCATGTTTATGGGCTTGTCCACACTAAAGGGCACAAAAGTGTGACAAAAGGCTAAAAATTAGATTTTAATAATCAAAAGATATTTTATGTTTTTCATGTTTCCAAGCACCTCCTCTGTCCATTAGAAGTTGCTAGAACATAACTGTTTTATACATTAGACAAGTTTCCTATAGCGGCCCTGTTTATTTTATGTAACGGACGTGATGATTTGACGGAATGAGCTTTGTGGAAGTTTGATGGTATTTTCAGATATCCATATTTGATTCAGAGATTCTATTTTTTTACACAAAGTAGGTGCAAAGTGATACTTTCATATTGTCAACTAATTAAATGTGAAAACAGACCAGATTTTTTGTTTTCTCAAGTTTAATTTTTAGAGAAAAGAGGACCGTCCTCATCACGTCCGTTATACATTTTTCAGGGGTCATTTAATTAATTAATTATTTTTTTACGATTCCTTTTTATATCAAGTGATTTCCTTCTGTTGTGTTAACCATGTAGATCTTGTGGGATTTCATCTTCTGCATTTTCAGACTGAGGACATTTTATTTTCTATGTAACTGGCGTCACAGTAGAATAGTCCAATCAGAGGATGATTTGGTCGTTTAAAATGTTGCTAAACATTTTTATGTCAATCTTTCCTTTTGATTTTTTCCACACTATCTCTTCAATCTGTCTGTGTTTGAAATCTTTTTTCCAATCTATGAAAGTAATTTTAGTTTTTAAGTTATAACCTTTTAAAGTCCAGATACTTCAATTGTCACTTTACTGTGAACACACTCTTATACAAAGAATAACGCTAGACACTCAGAAACTATTTGAATTTCACACTAGAAAAATACTACTTTTTCTGGTGTAGATCAACACTATTCTCTACTCAAGAAACCTCCACTTGTATCTGACTAACGCGGGGAGGCAGCGAGATGTATGCAGCTAAAATCTAGTCTTCCTGAAAATGTGAGACGCTTTTTTAGACTCTCAAAGACACTTCAGATGTCATTATCCTTTCACTCCATACACAGTCGTGATACACTGCCCTGGGGCACACTAGCAGAAGCACGCTCAAAAGTCTGAGTTTGAATCCCGGTCGGAACAGGGCCTTTTTGAGTGGAGTTTGCATGTTCTCCTCATGTTTGCTCCGGTTTCCTCCAGGAGCTCCGATTTCCATGTAGAACAGGTCGAATCCTCCAGCTCTGGTCCTGATCAAGAGCATCCACATCTGGAGCTGGGTGCCCTGTTACTACGGCTACCGCTAGTCAAATGCCATCCATCAAATTTCTTCCACTTCATCGGTTGCCGGCTCGCGGGGGCAGCAGTCTAAGCAGAGACCAGCTCATCTGGGGGAATCCTGACACAGTGCCTCTCTCTGATGGGTCAAAGTCAGAGGACACAATTTCTCACAAGGACAAGGACAACACATCTACTCCTTATTAATCTTTTTATTATTTATTCAGGATTTTGGGGGTTTTACACGTAATAATGTCATCTTGAATTACTACGAGAAGAAAAAAAATATGAAATGTATGAAAAACCCATGAAGCCTCCTCTAATGTGTAACGTTTAACAGATGTTTTACAAACGCGTTCATTCAGATGTTTGTGTGTCGCCCAAAGATCACAATAAAATCATTTAAAAATAGTTGGACATGAACTGTGTGTTAAAAATGTTTGAAAAGATAAATGTCCAGAGAACCACAGGAGAACAGAACAGAGGACCTGGAGCTGGTCTGGGTCAGAATCTCTCTTTGGGCTCGCTGAACTTCCTCTTCTTCCTGGGAGCAGTGAGACTCGGAGTGTCCTGACTGTTCAGGATCTCAAACTCCTGCGGACGACAAAGTTAGAGTCTTCTGTTGAAAATAAAACCACTCTGTGTCTGTACTTGCTGCAACATGTACAGATGTAGACTTTATATTTATTAAACTAGAATATACACGAGCATAACAAAGAAGCCAGTGTGATATAATAAAGTTACAGATGTTATTCTATTTTTTACCTTATTGTTCACTTCATCTTTATATTATCTATTTGTGTTATTACATGCCTTTGATTGTATTCTGAGACATAACTATGAGGCCAATGTTTAGAAAACACTGGATCTACAGCCTCAATCCTGGGTCTACAGCCTCGGTCCTGGGTCTACAGCCTCAGTCCTGGGTCTACAACCTCGGTCCTGGGTCTACAGCCTCAGTCCTGGGTCTACAGCCTCAGTCCTGGGTCTACAGCCTCGGTCCTGGGTCTACAGCCTCAGTCCTGGATCTACAGCCTCAGTCCTGGGTCTACCGCCTCAGTCCTGGGTCTGCAGCCTCAGTCCTGGGTCTACAGCCTCGGTCCTGGGTCTACAGCCTCAGTCCTGGGTCTACAGCCTCAGTCCTGTGTCTACAGCCTCAGTCCTGGGTCTACAACCTCAGTCCTGGATCTACAGCCTCAGTCCTGGGTCTACCGCCTCAGTCCTGGGTCTGCAGCCTCAGTCCTGGGTCTACAGCCTCACTCCTGGGTCTACAGCCTCACTCCTGGGTCTACAGCCTCGGTCCTGGATCTACAGCCTCGGTCCTGGGTCTACAGCCTCAGTCCTGGGTCTACAGCCTCAGTCCTGGATCTACAGTCTCAGTCCTGGATCTACAGCCTCAGTCCTGGGTCTACAGCTTCACTCTGGGTCTACAGCCTCAGTCCTAAACCTAAAAAGAGTCTGATTATGTTCCCTTCATTATCACTGGTTGTGCATGAAACCAAGTCAAGCCCGATAGATAAACAGATAGAGAGATAGAAAATTCAACACATCTTTAGCTGCTGTATTAGTTAACAACAAAATAGGATTAAATATTATGAAAGTGTGTAATGACTGAGGTTTGATATATCTACCATTTTTCTCTTTGGAGTGCACAGAGGTTTGTCGTTCTTCTTTGACACCTGGCAACACAAAACACGACAGAACTTGAATTATTCACAATTATCTGTATTTAACATAGAGTTAGAGGCTGTTTTCACATGATGCCTGTATCAACAGCTGTCACTAAATAATGTCTCAAAGGTAAGAGAAATACAACATTGTCAGTGATGAGGCATATGGAGCCCCCTGCTGGAGAACTCTGGTAACAGCACTATTCTCTCCTACTTTATCAGTCCTCACTCTGACTTCAGCTGTAGTCTGTTCATTGCTATTCACCCACTGTCTGTTTATGTGTTTCATGGCGTGATGATGGGACCCCTGAATCTAGTATTTTTATCTGCACCTGTGGACTGCTCAGATGTTGCACCCTGAGTCCTGGGTCTATAGCCTCAGTCCTGGGTCTACAGCCTCAGTCCTGAATCTACAGCCTCAGTCCTGAATCTACAGCCTCAGTCCTGGGTCTACAGCCTCAGTCCTGGATCTACAGCCTCAGTCCTGGGTCTACAGCCTCAGTCCTGGGTCTACAGCCTCAGTCCTGGATCTACAGCCTCAGTCCTGAATCTACAGCCTCAGTCCTGGATCTACAGCCTCAGTCCTGGGTCTACAGCCTCAGTCCTGAATCTACAGCCTCAGTCCTGAATCTACAGCCTCAGTCCGAGGTCTACAGCCTTAGTCCTGGATCTACAGCCTCAGTCCTGGATCTACAGCCTCAGTTATGAATCTAAAAATAACTGTTTATTCTGAAATTGAAGTTTTCAAAAGCATAGTTTATAGATAATACATATTGTAGAAAATGCAGTAGGTTTTGTGATTACATCGTCACCAGTCCAGGGACGACAGATGGAAACTGACATCTTTGCTAAAAACCTGCACATGGCCGACTTTCTTTTAACAAGACTAATGTTTAATGTGTGTTGTCAGTGTTTGCACTAATGTGGTCTCCTTTAAATACCACTGAGGTTTCAATAATACTTGGACATGGACTGTAGAAAAGACCAGAGTGGTAGAGAGAACAGACGTCTGGTTTACGGTTCCCCAGAGAGCTGTTCAGAGAGAGCAGAGAGAGACTGACCGTGGAGCAGGAGGAGGAGATGACCCGGCCACTCCTGGTCCTCCTCAGTCCCACCTCCACACTGGACCTCCTCTTCACCGCCTGAGTGTCCACCTGAGAGGCACAGATGGGTCATGACGCTCCCCTCACAGCTCTGAGAGGCTCACTGGGTTCATACTCCACACAACACTACACACTCAGGAACTATATGGATATACTATTGTTGACATCAGAGGTGGGAAATGTCCAAAATGTGGCGATTCAGAAGTATTGCGATATTTGGGCCACAATTCATTATTTGACTTTTAGCATATTGCGACACAGACAGTTTTTTGGTGGTAAGAAGCCGGAGTATAAAGTCTGGGATGTACTTCTCTCAGGCCAGCACATCACTAATTACTAATCTCTTAAAAGCTGCATATCTTAATGATTTTGTGGCTATCGATCCTTCTGCTTTACGTCAGTTCAAAGTTTCTTTATGAGTTTACTTCCACTGCATCATGGTATGGTATGGTATGGTATGGTTTTTATTTTTACAGGGACAGTGTACAGTAAACATTAGCCAAAAGGAGAGATGCTTTGTACCAGGTTGTAGCAGCAGTGCTAATTTACACCTGTAGTCCCTGAGCAGGTTGTTGTGAGACAGTAAAATAAAAAGTAGATGGATACATTACCATACATTATCAGACATACCTTACAATTTAATTAATCACAAATTAGATAATAGAATATAATAAAACCACCCAGCCCCCATTCTTTATTTTCATACGAACCTACACTCAACCTGCACTCTATCTCTCTCTCTCATGCACACACACACACACATACACACACCCACATACACACCTACGCAGACACTCATCACACATGGGAACAGATCTGCCTCTCCAGGAGCCATGCTCTTGTCAGGCGTGTGAATAGTTTTAGATCAGTGCAAGTGATGATGTGAGTTGGGAGTGAGTTCCACTGAGTCGCTGCAGTGACGGAGAAGGCTGACTTTCTGAAAGAGGTCCTACATGTTGGGACGCTGCACTCTCCTCGTGCTGTAGATCGAGTGGCACGGGTCATTTTTTCAGAGCACAGGGTCACATATTTCCTAAGGGGTGGGGCAATAAGACCGTTTATAACTTTAAAAAGTAGACACACATTATTATAAAAGAATTGATTTTCGAGGTTAAGAATGTTGTATTTTGTTAAGATTGGGCAGTGATGGTATTGTTTGGGTTTCCTGTCATGTATTTTTAGTGCACGTGTGTATATTGATTGAAGAGGACCCAGAGCAGATTTGGAGCCCTGGGACCAACTGGACATTCAGTACATGAAGTGTGGCAGAATCATAGCGTTCAGAAACATGTGGGAGGCCTCGACTGTGAGGGACCCTCTGATGTGTCTGAAGTTGGCCAAAGTAAAGTTTAGACTGTTTTGAAGTTTTTTTAAATGACTTTTAAAAGTTAAAGTGGAGTCAAGGCTGACGCCCAAGTAGGTATATTTTTCAACATTTTTGATATTATTTCCGTTTATTTTAATTGTTGGGTAATTTAGGTGTTTAGTCCGATTTGTGAAATCTATAGAGACTGTTTTCTCCGTATTCAGTGTTAGACAATTTTGAAACAGCCAGTCAGCCACTCTCTGAATTTGGATGGTCAGTTCTTTTGTGACCTCATTTTCGTTTTTCCCATGGACGAAGACTACTGTATCATCGGCAGGCCCGTCGCAAGGGGGGTGCGAGGCCCTGTGCGAACTCGAAACGCGAGGCCCTGCCCTGACACTTTTTTCCCAGATCTGAGGAAAGTTTTTCCTGTTATAATCTTTGACATGAATTCAGCACCACCTCGCGCGGTGCTTGACGAGATCAGCACGCGTGTAACCGAGTGTCTTCGCTCCCATGCAGCGTTTGGCGCGCGCACGTACACACGCACACACACTCTACGGCACTTGGTATTGCAATATTGGTCGCGGTCTTTTTAGCTGACATGTCTCTTTTCGTCCTGTGGCAAAATGGTAGAGCAACTCAAAAGATTGAACCAAAAGGAGTCTTTTTCTTCTAATAGTTAGATTTTGGCAAAATGCGCCAAAATGGCTATGAGGCGGAGTCAATATTATTATTTTTTTTCTCATCAAATAACGTTTTTGCCATGCCTCCACACACTCTGACAACATACGCTCCTCCTCCTCCACACTGACAACAACAAAATACTCTTCACCTCCTCCTCCACACACTCTGACCACAACAAAAACACTCCAGCTAGCTAAAGCTAGACATACAGTGTGTTTGCTAATGCTTTTAAAAATATGTTTTTGATGTGGATATTCGGACTAAACATTGGCAATAGCAGCGCTCACACACCTGTCACACCGCTGCTCCTCCTCCTCCTCTGCTCACACAAAGGGGTCTGCTCCTCTGCTCACACCTGTCTCACTGCTCCTCCTCCGCGAGTATCCATCTCTCCTACACTGCGATCATTCCCGTTACTTTCTTTGTATCTCACTCAGACACTGCTAAAGTTATCTGACAGTTTTTTCGGAGGACCCGCTGCATACATAGCTGCCCGCGCGCCTGCCTGTTTACAAATCGCTTTTGGTGAAAATTTGACTTTACTTGTAAAAATGTTCTTTTGATCAAACGAAATCAAAGAGGTCCAGAGAAAGGGGTTTAGGGTTCCAAATTTGGAGTGCAGTCTGCCCTTTGGGGACCCTTGAACTAGTGTATTTATAAAATAAAATAAAAGGAAGGAAGATTGCGAGGCCCCTGTGTGGTGCGAGGCCCTGTGCGACGGCACAGGTCGCACAGCCCTTCGGACGGGCCTGATCATCGGCATACATGATGGTGCTCGCAGCGGAGACTGAGGGGAGGTCATTAATGTACAAACTGAATAACAGTGGCCCCAAAATGGAGCCCTGCGGCACTCCCGTGGTGTAGTCTTCCAGTGGAGACAAGGTGTTTTTTACTCTCACACATTGTTGTCTGCCACTTAGGTACGACCTGATCCAGTTTATTGTTTGTTTGGATAGATTATAATTTGATAATTTTCCTAAGAGAATGCTGTGATTGACAGTGTCAAAAGCCTTGCGGAGGTCAAGGAAGACTGCTCCCACAACCCCGCCATGGTCCAGTCTGGATTTGATTTCTTCGATTAGAAAGCAGCAGGCAGTTTCTGTTGAGTACCCACTCCTGAATAGGAATCAAACACTGGAGAAACTGGCAAATCTGCTACAAAACAAAGACGGCAGCAATCCTCTTTTATGGTGATAAAGTGTTTTCTCATTAATGTGGCCAACAATGCAATAAGAGAGGAAAGAGAGGCGTGTTTTTACCTCAGTGACTTCAGTGCTGTGGATCTCCTCATGACAGCTCAACTCGATCTCTGCAAACAACATATTCACTATTTATGATCGGGTAGAGTTTTTTGAGTGTTAGTCCTGGTCTCAGGTCTCTGCACTGGAGGAGCACAGGGACTGGTCTCCTGCTGGGACTCTGAGGAGCACAGGGACTGGCCTCCTGCTGGGACTCTGAGGAGCACAGGGACTGGCCTCCTGCTGGGACTCTGAGGAGCACAGGGACTGGCCTCCTGCTTGTCCTAGAGTCAGGACTAAACATGGGGAGGCAACGCTTCAAATTGAAGCAGCTGAATTCTGGCCATACGCATTTAAAGTAATGTTGACTAATATGAACTGCCCTTATTTAAAAAACAAATAGCAGCTTCTCTGTATCTATGTAATAAACATCTCTGCACAAACTGCCTTTTCTCCATTAAATAATATATTGTATTAAATTCAGGACACAACATTTATGGACATGTATCAACATTCATGGACATTGGTCTCCTTATGGACCAATACATATGTGTATTTTTTGTGTCTTAACTGTATATTCTCTGATCTGTGTTGGTGATTTCAATGGTTTTGTTAAGTCTCTGAGATGACTTCTGTTGTGATTTAGGGAAATACAAGAATAAGTTGTATTGTATTTTATTATATTCCTGTGGTTGAAGAAAAGCTGCTGTATCTGCGATTGACCTGTAAACGCTGCCCTCTGGTGTTCAGACGCTGCTATGACACGTTCAGACATGTTCAGTTTCTGTGGATGGAGTCATGATTAAAGCTTGTGTGTGTGTGTATTATTCAGGTGTACGTGTAACTAAGTAAGTTAAAATATATATGGAGACGTATAGAACTTGAAGTATTTTCGCCTGATTGAGAGACTTTCTATTCACTGAAGAATGGAATTGATTTGTTTGTATTTTTGAAGTTGCTGTTGAGTGTTTGTATAGTTATAGTTTGAAATGTAAATGAAATGCTGCTATTAAGGTTGCCATATTTGTGTGTGTGTATTTTTGTTATAACATTTTAGTTTTTAGCATATTTTTTGTTTGTGCGTTCATAGGCCACAGGAAGAAAAGCTGCAGTATATTTCCGTTGCTGATGGATCTGAGGACCCTCTCGATGCTTCTCAAGCTTTTCCTCGTAATAAAGAAATGTTACTCACTTCTATATAAGAACAAACAAACAAACCCCTCTCAGTCTGGCAAATGTCAAATGTGTAAGATCTAATAAAGAAAAAAACTTCTACTAAAAACACAGAGGTCTTGGTTGAGATCTGCTGACGAGTGCTGTGGAGTGATTGATTGATTGTCCGCTCTCACCGGTGGCGTCCTGCTCTTTGCTCTGTGACTGCTCCACGTCCTCAGTCTCGTGATTCTGCAGATTAACACAAACTATCAGTGAATGCTCAAAAACACGTCGATACAAAAACCTGTCAGTCTCAGATGCTGCGAGTGAGAATCACAGGGTTCAATCTGAGTTTTGTTTTCAAACACTTCTTTTTTATTCCAATTGAGACTGATTAGCTGCAAGTGAGAGCCAGATCCTTTCAGACCTCTGTGTTTGTACTGAAAGAATAATGACGTGTGAAGAAACTATGAGATTTCAGAAAAGTGTTATAAACATTTTTTGTATATTTTCTAAGTATTCTCATTTTTCATATTAATAAAGACAGAGGAAAGTTGCTGTTGTTTTGTACCTCCTCTTCATCCATCCTGATGACCCACTTCTCCTCCACAGTCGCAGTCTCCTCCACCTGGAAACCAAACAACTGCTAAACTGTGTCGAACTCACAGAGAAGAAGAGAAGGACGAGACGCAATCGTTTCCTCGAACCTGATCCTCGACTCCGGATCATAGTGAAGTAATCGAGCACAGCAGAAATATCCCTTTCAGTGGATAGTGTTGAAAACCAGCACATGCATCTGGCTCGTCCAATGTTATTGTTATGTCCATATCAAATACAGTTACACAGTTCAAGGCAAATTAACATTTGCCTTGAACTGTGTAAATGAAGGGATTAACGATTAAAACTCTTAAATCTGGGTCTTCCTTCTTTGGAGATTTGATCACTCACAAAACTTAACATATTCAACTCTGTGTGTAATGAGTTTTTATCACATTAGTTTCAGTGATTCAATAAGATCACAGCACAAGACTGAATGTTGAGTAATGCACAACTCTACACACACACACACACACACACACACACACAAACACACACACACAAACACACACACACACACACACACTACAATCTTGATCTTTAGCTATAATACAGAAGCTGTATAGAATATTGTATACTGTAGTGTGGTATATATATGCTTGTTCGTATACATCTGCAGAGATAAACAAACTATTGACCAATATTCTAGTTTTTAAGAGTTGGAAATGTATTCTATTGCTGTATAATGTATTTAAACTACAACTATTTTCTCCCGTGTAAAGCACTTGCTTGTTGTGAATGTGTTAAACCATGGGTCTCTAACCTTTTTTGATTGGAGAGATACTTTTATGAATCAGAAATGGGATCTACTCCTTTTAGCAGTCGTAATCTAACTGTAGTCTATAATAACTACAGCAAAGCATTGAGACCACACATGTATAATACACCACTAAACCATAAAGTATCTCTGCATTCATGAGAGATTTATAGTTGAAATACTTATGCGATGACTCTAAAGTGAATCATTCAGGATCATAGGTAGGGAGACCCCTGTGCTATACAGATAAATTGTCCTGGCTCACCTGCTCCAGCCTCTGCCTCTCTGTGGCCATGTTGAGCTTGAGCGTGTGGTACGGAGTCATGACTTCGCCCATGTTCAGTTTGACCGGCTCACGCTCAAACTCCATCATGTCACCGTCTGCCTCTCGGAAACCCGGCGGCTGGTAGTCGTGTGGGGTCACTGAGAGACAAGGATCAGACGTGAAACCAGAGAGAGCATAGGGAAGAGAGAGATCAGAGACACCAGAGAGAGACCAGAGAGAGCAGAGAGGGAAGAGAGAGATCAGAGAGACCAGAGAGAGCAGAGAGGGAAGAGAGAGATCAGAGAGAGCAGAGAGGGAAGAGAGAGAAGAGACACCAGAGAGACCAAAGAGAGACCAGAGAGAGACCAGACACCAAAGAGAGCAGAGAGAGACCAGAGAGAGTAGAGAGAGATCAGAGAGAGATCAGAGAGAGATCAGAGAAAGAAGGAACAGAGACCAGAGACAGACGAGACAGACGAAAAAAGACCAGAAGACCAGGAAGAGACCAGAGAGAGACCAGGGAGAGACCAGAGAGACCGGAGAGAGACCAGACACAGACAAGAGAAAGACCAGGGAGAGACCAGAGAAAGACCAGGGAGAGACCAGAGACAGACCAGGGAGAGACCAGAGACAGACCAGGGAGAGACCAGAGAGAGACCAGAGAGAGACCAGAGAGAGACCAGAGAGAGACCAGAGAGAGACCAGAGAGAGACCAGAGAGAGACCAGAGAGAGACCAGAGAGAGACCAGAGAGAGACCAGAGAGAGCACGACTTTGTTAAAACTCAGGGAAAATCAGTTCTGTCAGAGCAGGTCAACTTTTCTGTCATTACAATTATCTGATAATATTTACAACATAGATACATAGAGTATATAAATGCATGTGTGAGACTATACAAAGCTGCTGTAGCCAGATTCACACTGGGTTTCAGTGGTTTCGAGGACTTTGAATTCAACAACAGCTGCCTCTTGCTTGTACCTGCTTCGTAGTAGAACAGCTTCATGCTCAGACACACGTTGTCCGGCAGAGGCCCCAGGTTCTGCATCAGAGTGTACAGCTTTCTCACCAGCAGGATACTGGCCTTCCTCGTGCTCCCACAGGCCATGGACGAAACATTATCCTTGTTCTTGCTGCAGAGAAACAAGAACAAAAAATAACTAAAAGTCCCAGGTCCTGTGGCTGCGCGTCAAACCCACCTCTCGAAGTCCATCTGTGGTCCGTTCTGGGTGTACTGGATTTGGAACTGGTAAAACTCTGTCACTTTCTGCAGAGAGTAAATCAAGAATCACTTCATTGCTCTCCAGGGAAATTACTCGGTGTGAACGATAGGAGCGAAGCACAGACGGTTTTGATATAAAAAAAAGAAGCAATTAGAGCCACAGAAGGTAAGAAGCAGCATTGACAAAGTAATACAAACAAACAGAAAATACATTTTTGTCTGGGGGAACATAATACCTGGGGATTGTCTGGGTCCGTGTAAATCTGAGAGAAACAGCAGAGTACCAGTTATGGCAACAACACTTCATTTTTTGCTAGTTTGAGACTTAAATACTCACATACAAAATGGCTGTCCGAAGCTTTATGGGAGGACATTACAGGGTTACAAACCAGACTCAGAACTTATAATTAGGAAAAACACAAAGAAATACAACATATACTCACATATTTCTTATCAATGGCGTCGAAGCATCCTTGCATCCTACGACAGAGACGCACATAAGTCTCTGAATCGTTAGTCCTAGTTAAGTCCAAGTTAAGTCCAAGTTAAGTCCAAGTCTCTAACCTAAGTCTGTCTGCCTCGCCGACATTTCCAACTGTGTTTTTGTTTTTTGGTAACCCGATGCAGTGGGGTCTAAGGACAGTGGTCACCCCGCTCCCTATGGACCAATGGCTCCTTTGTGTTTGTTATTATTGCATTTCCTGTGTTCAAATTGTTTGTTCCATTGTATGGATTTTTCATTTGGTTTAATTTTGACATGGTGTTCTCTGCGGTTTCATTTTTAGTTTGACTTCCTGTCCTGTTCCCGTTTGATTGTCCTCCCGCTCTAATGTGTTTCACCTGTGTCTCTCTGTGTCTGTATGACCTCTGAGCTCACCCATATTTGTTTTCCCCTTGGACTTTTTTTCTCTATTAACATCATTAAATCATAGATTTTGGCATTCCGGGGCGACAGTGACAATGGTAAAGCATTGGTCTTTGAGCCTGAAGGTCGTGGGTTCAAGCCCACAACAAGACCTACTTCAAGACTCCCACTGGTGTTTGCTGTTGTTGTGTCCTTGGGAAAGACACTTAACCCCACTTTGCCTGAAGCCCCCGCTGAAAGATCTCAGCTCCTGTGGACTCAGCACCTGCAGGAGGATCAGTGAGGGGCTGGTGCTCTGTGGACTGGGTGCAGCTCTGACTGCCACCCCCGACCCAGAAATGGATTAAGGGGAAGAAAATAGATGGATGGATATTGGCATTCCTGCATTTAGAGTTTTGAAGCAGACTCTGAAGCCGGTTGATGAGTCGGTGAAGAGTCGCTGTAGGGTTTCACAGTGTTTCCGGAATGGCGCCAGAATGCAAAGACGACAGCCGCCTCCTCATCGCCGCGGTTTGACAACCAACTGCCCCCACTGCTTCTGCTGCAGCCCTCTCCTTTATAAATCCTTATGTACTGCTCAAGACATCCTTCTGTGATGCCTCAAATATGAGCCTAGAACTGTGCTTCTTTTGCTTCTTTATTATGCTAAAGCTAGAGATGTTATTTTACTTTAGGTAATATATAATATGTAGTGTATATATTATATATATATGCTGTATTATGTTATATATTATTCAATAATGTATTGTGTTATGTTGTATATTATGTTATATATTATGCTGTATGTTATTCTTTATTCAAGGCTAGGTTTAAAACAGTCCTCTTTAGTTTAGCATATGGCTAGGAAGGTAAGACTCGGAGAAGGTTAAACTCCTCAGAGTGCTAGTCAAGCTGCATAGGGAGTCAGTTTGCTGGGAGAAGTATGGTAACTTGAGCACTATCCTCTCCTCCTTCCTACTTTATCTGTTTAGCATTTTTAGGATTCTGACTGTAGTTTGTTCATTGCTATTCACCCGTTGTCCCATTGTCTGTTTCATGGTACGATGACGGGATCTCTGAGCCTGGCCTCTTCCATCTACACCTGCGGACTGCCCCGCCCGACCCGCCTGGGAGTGCTTCAGTCCTGCACCGGACCTGTCCACGTTCAGCGTCCACTGGTCCACGTTCTGTAGCTAGCTTAGGTCCTAGATCATTAGCCTGTCCGTCCGGAGGAGCGGATCCCTTTCTCATATGGGTCTCCCTCCCTGTGGGTTTCCCTAGTTCTCCCCAAGGTTTCTCACTTTTTCCCACTGGGTTTTTTTAAGAGTTTTTCCTTGTCGATGCAGGAGGGTCTTGTTGGACAGTTAGTGTCCAACAGAAAGGATTGGTGATGATCAGGACACTTTAGCATTCTACAACATGTATGGACATTTTCTTCTGTGTGTGCTTTATATTCTTCATGTGTTTTAACTGTTGATTCTCTGACCTGTGTTGGTGATTTCAATGGTTTTGTTAAGTCCTCTGAGATGACTTCTGTTGTGACCTAGGGCTATACAAGAATAAATTGTATTGTATTGTGTATTGTATTGTACTTTATCACACGCTCCTCACAGCAGCAGGAGAACGCTCCATTGATTTGAATGTAATTTCAAAACGTTCTACCTGTCATTATTTCTTATAACGGACCTCTCAAAACAATAATGACCGCTGCCCTTTGGCAACGCACTCTCTGCTTGTCTTTCAGATGCGTGGATAACTCCGCAAGTAGTTCCGGCCACTCCGGAGCTAGCCACGCTCAATAAACGCAAATACCAATCAATCAACGCAATGAAATGTTAATCGGAGAATACATTATACATATACATTCTTAATACAAGTGCACGGAAGTTTTCAAAATTTTCCGTTTCCGTTTTAATGACAAAATGACTGATGTAATGCGAGAAAAGGCGATCCCGAAAAACCCGGAAGTAAATACCGGCACATTTTAAGATACCGGCACATTTTAGGAACGTTTGCAGAGGATGGAATTATGGATTTAGGTTAGGTTTATGTATGGGTCACTCACCGCTGTTGTTCAGAATTCTGTGTTCAGTTTTCATGCAGTTCCAGAGAGTTCTAGTTTGGAAGTTGCTAGCCTAACTGTTGCTAGCATAGCCACGGGAAAGCCTTTGGGAACAATTTTATTTTCTGTCATTAAATAAACCTTTCGGCATTCCTAAAAGTGGACTGAAGTTTATGTTGTGTGTTCTGTTGGTATAAAGCCGTATAATAAGCGGGATAACGTATATTACGCAGGTCATTATCGGAAAATAAGTACCTTCAGGGCGGAAGCGCGCCCTGTCGGTACTTATTTTCCGATAATGACCTGCGTAATATACGTTATCCCTTACTTAGTATAGAGTTATTGTTCAAAATCTTGCGTTGTGTTCTGTAACTGGTGATGCAACACTGACATTTCCACACTGTGGGACCAATAAAGGATCTCTTCATCTCCTTTCTGAAGCGAAACAAAACCTGAAACTTTCTCTTAAATCCAAATACACTGTTACAAACGATTATTAGATAAGCTACTAGGAGGAAAGACGTCTGTCTGGTCTCTCTGGGTCTGGGCCACAGCTTGGAGCCAGGCCAGGCCAGACCTTTGCCTGATTGTTTGTCTCAGTATCTCTGTATTCTCTTGTCTATTGTCTGTGGAGAGTCATTAAATGTCCTCTTTCATAAATATTTGGTTTATTCCTAATCTGTGAAATTACAACTAAAACTCATGACATCACTAACTAAAACAAAATGGAGACTAAAATGTGTTAAAATTGTATAATGAAAGCTATCTGCATCCAATGAGCACCAATGACAGCTCTCTCTTTCTCTCTCTCACATCTGGTTGTGTTTTTATAAATATTAATGAAATTATGCTTTAAAAGAAAACCCCAGAGTTTCCTTTAGCCTGTGTTTTGATGGCGTCTGTGTGAGTCTGTCAGACGTACCACTGAACAATCTGAGTAGCACCAGGACACGTTTTCTCCTCTCTGAGAATCATCACCTTCTGTTCTGGAGAGAGAAATGTGAACGTTACAATGTCATCTGAATCACATTTTACATCATTATAACATGAAATACTATGGAACTTAAAAAGGACTTTTAGTGTAACTATGTTAAAACTGAGCGGGTTATTACTACAGTCTGATTTCCATGATGTTCTCCTTGTCTGATCTCCTTGATGTGGTTTTCTGAAGGTTGAATCAAACATATCTGTTGGCGACGAGACAGATGCTGACGGGAACTGCTGTGTTTAGTCTTGGTATATTTCCTGTGGCTCAGAGAACTTTAAAGACTTTAGTAGCTCTCTCCACAGACTCGAACTAAAGTACATCTGTGACATGTCAGGGCCATATGAACCAACTCTAAGGAGCACAGGGACTGGCCTCCTGCTGGGACTCTGAGGAGCACAGGGACTGGCCTCCTGCTGGGACTCTGAGGAGCACAGGGACTGGCCTCCTGCTGGGACTCTGAGGAGCACAGGGACTGGCCTCCTGCTTGGACTCTGAGGAGCACAGGGACTGGCCTCCTGCTGGGACTCTGAGGAGCACAGGGACTGGCCTCCTGCTAGGACTCTGAGGAGCACAGGGACTGGCCTCCTGCTGGGACTCTGAGGAGGTGCCCAGACTCAAGACTAAATATGAGGAAGCAGTGTTTCAGAAAATTCAAAATTTGGAACAGTCTTCCTGAAAATGTGAGACAGGCTTCTTCTCTGACAATATTCAAATCCAGGTGAAATCAGTTGTGTTTAGCTGTGAATACAACTGAAGGATTGTATCTTCACTCTTTTGAATGTACTGTGATCATTTATGGTGCCTTGAGTATGAACTGTGCAATACAAATAAACTTGCATCGCCTAAATAACCAAGTGAATGCTGCAAAACTCCTGCTCACAGAACTCTGCATCTAATTGTCTTCACTTCTCAATTTTTTTTCTTTTCAATTGAATATTCAAAAATCTATATCAATGACTTTATTTCTGAACCAAATATTGATTCTAAGTTAAAATAACAAAATGATAGTGAACTAAAGAAGAAGATGATGTCATGTCTTTAGTGAGTACCTTCGACGTCTTTGGTGCCATAGGCTTTCTCTGGGAATAACCCGCGCAGGTACGTGATCCCAGAGACGCCGATGGCCAGAAGTCTCTTCACCACAATGAGAGACTGCTGCTCAGTCACCACCTGTTTCGGCAACAGCTGCGTGTCCTGGAAAAGACACGATCACAGGTAAAACATGGTCAGTCACTTATTATTATTATTATTATTCATATTTCTGAAACATACTGGACGGAAAAAACACTTCTCGCTGCTCAGGCAAACTTTTCTTGAGCTGCTTGACAATTAAATTAAATTAAATGTATTTTTATTTAGCCCACACAACAGCATCTCAGAGCCCTTGTCTCAGAGGGCTTTAGAAAGTTGTCAATTCACTAACAACAGATTAGAGAACAAACACAGGAAATGCAATAATAACAAACACATAGGAGCCATTGGGGAAGAGGGAGCGAGACGACCATTGTCCAGCAATGTTAGTAAACGGATCAAAAAACCTAACAGGAAAAAAGTGAACATTCTCTGGGAGGCTGATCCAGGACTGAGGCTGCAGATCCAGGACTGAGGCTGTAGATCCAGGACTGAGGCTATAGATCCAGGATCCACACATCATTTCTATTTAACTTTGCTTTAAATGCTTTGAAAAGTGTGATGAGTTGTTATGATATCTAATCTATGCTGCTAATCAAGAATGTTAATCAGATGTTGCATTTTAAACATATCGTTATTTATTTTCTGTTCAATGATTGATATTTACTGAGTTTGTGCCTTTCATGCTACAGTGATGTTAAATTGTAAGATCTATAAATTCTTGTGACATTCTGGTTCTGAAGCTGTGGGTAAATCCATATCGTGTCGAGTCAACATTTCAAATAAAAGTCTAACAGCCTCAAGAAAAACCTAACGGGTCTTTAATCAAAATATCAATGTTGGCATTAAGCCTAGAAATATTCCTCCATCGACGTTCTTTTTCTGTAGCAGCTAATTCTCAGACCGTACCCACAACATTCCCCACGGAATCATCTGAGAGGATCATTAGATTAAGAGCAAACTGCTTTTAATTCAAACGTAAGCAGTTGTATGCAGAACCGCACAAGGGAAAAAGTTTGGATTTCGCATCAATAACAGTAATACAGTATAATAATAATAATCATTAAAAGTGTTTCTATACATACATTTATATTTAGACATTTTAATTTCATTTTCGGACTGGAAGAGAGGAGTAGAAACTGAAAATGACTTACTTTAAGAATTTAAGGTCACTGTGATAAGATGTTCAGAAACTGGGACCAAAACCAGGTTTCTCCAAACACTGGCACCATATGTAAAAGCCTGACACTGTTGGATTGGTATATGGCTGACTCCACACTAAACTGTACCAATGTGGTGTAACATTTGGGTCAATGGCACGAAAAAGTCCTGAAATGTCCGCAGCTGTTACTGCCGAATGTTCACAGAAACACTCTAGTTTTGTTCCAGCTTGTTTGTCCAGTGAACGGGGCAATACTTAAACACAGATTCGTTAACGCCCGTACTATTAACAGCTCCAGCCATTTTGGATGTTACAAAAGTAGATTCGAAGTGTCATGTCCAAAACACCCAGTTTGTATTCAATTTTCTAATCATAGTTTTTTGTAAAATCTATAAAACAGATTGATTATAGTTATATCCCCAACCATCAGTGTTAATGATTCCATTCACAAAGCCTCCAACATGACATGTCCTAAATAAAACAATCATGTCCCCAAAGTTCAATACCATTTTTATTTCTTAAAATGGTTTTGAGCCCATCTGAGATTATCCTCTGCATATATGTGAGCAGATATCTATAGTATTAAAGAATGTTTATGTACTAACAATTTTGGTTCATACATTTATGTTATTCTCACTTTAAGTTAGATAGACGCATGGTACAGTTTAGTGTGGAGTGAGCCATATATAAAGGTTTATTATTGCTTTCTGCACATGTGTGTTATACAGCAGCTATTACAACATGTAGCAAGGCAAAACAAAAAGCTGAATACAATTAAGTACTACTAAATATCTGCTCTATTAAAAGACTAGTTAAGTCATCCCAAAGGAAACAATTAATGAGTAGTATATGGATTTTGAAGTAAGTGGATTTACCTGAGAAGTTCTAACTTTTTGCAGACAGGCCATTATTCACGAGAACACAGCTAAAAACAAAACAGGGAAGCAACAAGTCATTAGTTAAATAAGCTCTCATAGATCCATGCAGCAGCTACGTTAGCATTAGCACGAGGCTAGCATTAGCTTTGACTGAAATTAGCAGAGTGCACACAACTGGTATACAGAACATATATCAACTTATTAAATGTGATCATGTCGGACTAACCAGCTCGTAGAAACGTGTATTTATCAAAGTTCAGGTAATTTCTGACTTTTCCCCGAAATGTAAAGTTTGTGGCGCCCGCTCCCGTTATCTCTCCAACGTCAAAGGTAGCCAATCAGAAGCCGGAGATCAGCCGATTCAAAATGGTCGCCAACTGAACTTTTTATGTATTTTATTTTATTTATCTATGTACGGACTGTATTTGTTTTACCAACTGATACATAATTTATTGCATATTATTGCATATTCTACGTAAATTATTAATATAATAAATGTATTGATTTTCTGTATGTAGCTAATATTTACTGTCTTCAAGGATGTAGCTATGATCTATTGAAAAAGATGAGGCCAGAGATGAGGTAAATTACGTCAATAAACAATCATTTAAATATAGGTTTTAGGTTCAGTATTTGCATATGTGGCTGCCACGGCTTCAAATTATTTTCAAAAAGCTTAATTTTCCTCCTGATTTTTAGATTTCCAGTTTTGTTTATGTGTTCAGTGTGTTCAGCCCCCGCATTGCACACATCTCGCAACGCCATTGGACAAGCAGCTATCAATCACACACATCCCGCCTACTGCTGTCCTGGCTCTCTCCTTCCATTGGCTACTGTAAGCGTCGCTCAACAGCTGTACCACCCGCCCTCGGCTGACGTCATATCTCATTACGCCATTTTTGTTGGGTACAGGCAGCAGCAGCAGCAGCACAGCAGTCGTGTTTGGGGGGAAAAGCAGGATTATTCATAACACAGGGATCCATCTGCGTTTGTCGGGACTGACAGTGCGTGCGTGGGGGTATCTGTCTGCTCGCGACACGTCCACGATGTCGTCAGAAAACACGGATTCGGACACCCAGGTGGACTGCGAGGACGAAAAACAGGTGGGATCCGCACTACTCCTGCTTCTGCTGCTGCTGGATTTGGTTGGTGTGTTGTGGGTGCTGTGTGCGTCTTTGGCAGAGTGGAGATGGAGTGAGATCAGTGGGGAATAGACGTAACAGATTTGTCAAGTTGTGCATTCGAAAAGATACGTTCAATGACTTTATCAGACACCTTGGCAGAGTGACGTTTCTGTCCCTTGCACGTCATTGGCTGTGAGTTAGGAGCCGCGTGGGCTTCATTGGTCCATCCTGGGAATGGGCTGCAAGTGCATCAGTGTAAATACAGGGTAACGAAGATGTTATAGGTCTGTGCATTTATGTTTATGACAAGGAAAATTGCCTTCACACGCACACATAGATGAATAGATACTTAGACACATGAACATATACACACGCACAGACATAGATACTTACAAGCACAAGCACAGACACTTACATACACAAACATGTAGACACACACATATACTAACATACACACACAAATACTTGCATACTCTCACACACACACATAGATTCTCACATACAGACTTACATACATAAAACATAGTATACACACAGAGGTACTTATATATACAGACACTTACATACACAAATATATTAACGTTTTGCAGTGATTCAGGTGTACTTTTTGCTTTCTGGGGCAACATAATAATATACTTCAAACTCAGGCTGGAACAAGTTACTCAAGTAGTCACAACCAATCGATTGTCGAAATAGTCTGCAGCACATTTCATAGTTGATTCACTGTATTGTAAACCTTGCATTGACTTAAACGTGCTGAGAAGAGGTTTTAAAACTCGGATAATCCTACAATAACTGTAGAATGAAGTTATTATGTGTTTATAAAGTATATGTAATCAAACGATCACAAGTAGTCTCTTTGATGATGTTTTCCAGGGGCATCACTTTTGGCCACACTCACGCACCACGGCCCACTGGTTGAAAAACACCCCAATAGAAGTCTCACTGAGGGACTGCTGAATGAATTAACCTGGTTTTTAAGTTTGGGACTGGTCCGGGCCTGGTCCTGCCCTGGTGTAATACAAACTGTTGTCGGTCTCCCAGAAACGGCTTCTATGTGAACTCACTCGCCCTGATGAATCATAGTTGATCTGTGATTTATAACCAGCTGTCTGACATTGCCAGGGTTCGACACCTCCGTCTTAGCAAACACTCTAGTTACCAAGTTCCCCATGGTTTCTGTATCATGTGGCCTCAGGTTCAGGTTGATAAAACGACAGAAGTGCACTGCAAAATGAAATGTCTAATATTATAATGGGGCAAGAAAGGATTCAATTCAATGGATGTTTGTGGAGCAATAAGTCACAACAGCAGTCGTCTCAGAATGTGTGTTTTAATGTTAATAAATGTTCTTAAATGTACCGGTTCATCTCTGTACTTAGACCCTCCTGCATATGCAACGAACCTCTCAAAAACCCAATGGGAAAAGATCCAGGACTGAGGCTGTAGATCCAGGACTGAGGCTGTAGATCCAGGACTGTAGACCCAGGACTGAGGGTGTAGATCCAGGACTGAGGCTGTAGATCCAGGACTGAGGCTGTAGATCCAGGACTGAGGCTGTAGATCCAGGACTGTAGACCCAGGACTGAGGGTGTAGATCCAGGACTGAGGCTGTAGATCCAGTACTGAGGCTGTAGATCCAGGACTGAGGCTGTAGGTCCAGGACTGAGGCTGTAGGTCCAGGACTGAGGCTGTAGATCCAGGACTGAGGCTGTAGACCCAGGACTGAGGCTGTAGATCCAGGCTATGGGATTTGTACTACATTTGACTCACTACATTTTTGACATTTTTTACAATATGCCACAAAATTGTATAGAAAACTATCTATTCTTCGAAACCATTGCAGTCTGATGTGAGAGCAATAATAGTGCAGTCCTAAAGTGGGGTACCTGAGGTGATGGGAGAAACCCTACACCCCTGGAGCCGGTTCCAGCAGCACATGGGTCTGAATCTGTCTGGACTTGTGTTTCTTTACATCGTCTCTCTGTGAGGTCTGTGAATATGTTCTTGTTTGTTGTTGCGGTTTGTTTTTGTGTGTGTGACACTGGAACAAGTCTTTCAACTTGAATTGTAATGCATTTACAAGTTACAACACGTACAACAATAATATGTCAAGAATTATGCAACAACAATCCAACCCTGGTCTGATTCATCCGGCTGCAGCAGGCATGTCCAAACTCAGGCCCCTAAACGTTTTTGTAACTTTTCCTAGCAACCTACCCACAACAAAACAGTATCCTGGTAAATTCCTCGGTAACCATGACTTCCAGCATCACTCTGATCAATCACTGTCAGTTAGCACACTTTAGTGCAAGCTCGGTCTGCATAGAACCAGGACCAAGAGGGACTAAAGAAGGACCTGGTACTGGTTACAAAGGACCAGAGGAAACACTCCCAATCAGGGTAGGGTCCCAGGATAGAGAGTCCCGGGCATAGTCTGGTTAGTACTGTGATGGGAGACCTCTGGGAACACCAGGTGCCACAGTGGGGCGGCTGCGGTTGTAAAATGCCAAACTGTGATTGTGTCCTTCGGCAAGACACTTCCCCCACATTAGAATGAGTCTGGTGTGTGTGTGAATCGTTGGTGGTCGCGGGAGGCACCGATGGCACATATTGGTTACCTCGCTTCTGTTAGTGTGTCCCAGGGCAGCTGTGGCTACAATAATAGTTTATCACCACTGTATTTGCAGTAGAAGAATAATGACATGTGAAGAGTATTTGAGTGTCCAGAAAAGCGTATTATTATTATTATTATTTTTTAGAAAGAGTAGAGTAAACAGGGCTCTGGTGTCGCTCTGTCCATAATGTTCATTGTAATACCATCTCTGCTTCGTACAGTTTAGTGCTTTAGTTTTTCTACCAAGCAGAACAGGTCAATCCATTCTCCTCAGTCCATATCCTGGTGTCAGCTGTCAGACACAGTGTTGTGACCAGAGAAAGTGGGACAGTGTGTTTACGATGTGTGGAGTGTGACATCACTCTGGGTGTGCACAGGTGACCCACATCCACAGACCGACCAGTCCGACCAGAGTCACAGGGTTACGGTTCCAGAGTCACAGTTAATACTCTCCACAACAAAATAATTCATCTGAAAGTATAGGGCTAACAAGGTCATCGACTATCACTGGGTTTGGAAGCTTAATTACTTATGCACATTGTTAGTTTTCATATTTTTTATGTTTGTGTTTGTCGTTTTTGTTCTATATCATTATTGTTTATGAAATTATTTAAAACTTAAACTTTTAACTGACTGCCATCTTGGTTTCTTGACAACCAACACACTATGGCACTATGGCAGAAAGCTTTGCCTGTAAAAGTTGTTACAGAATCAGGATTTCTTGATATTTTTGAAGCTTTATAAAGAAATTGGATCCTTATGTTCACAGACTACATTAAACATTGTTATTCTCATCATTTAGGACAAAGTGCTCTCCCAGAATACACCAGTAACACCTTGGCGTTTCTTTCAGTTCCGGACTAGTAGCCTTTTTGTTTAACTGTTGTCTAGTTTGTTGCCTATTGTCCAGGACTGCCTTGAAAAAGAGATTCTTAATCTCAATGGGATTTTCCTGGTTAAATAAAAATAACTATTTGTAATTATTGACCAGTATTTTAATTATTTTGTTTGGGTGAATCTCAGCTCAGTTCCGATGTTCATTTGAGCTCCGAGCAATACATACAGCAGATACAACAAAAAAGAATGTCATATAGAGCTCAAAAGGAGTGAGCAGAATTAAACACATATAAACACTTACCCCTTCATTGCACAGTAAGTTAAATGTATGTTCTCTGTTAGAGTAATGCATGTTTACATTTAAGAAATGCCTGAGTCCAATCTGCTGTGCACTTCAGTCTTCTGCTGTGTGTGTGTGTAACTGTATGTGTTGGTAAAAAGCCCAGTGTGTGTCTCTGTGTCTGACCCTGTTTGTCTCGTCTCTGCAGGACGCTCAGGAGAAGAATGTGAGCGCCATGAAGGCTGAGGAGGCCAAGCTGAAGGCCAAGTACCCCCAGAAGCCCGGCGGCTCCGACTTCCTCATGAAGAGGCTACAGAAAGGGGTACAGCCACACATCAGTGTTTTAACCAAAAGCTGCATTTAGTGATAGTAAATGTTGTCGTCTGATAGATTCAAGTAGAAGTCATGTTTTATTTTTATTTTTTATCCACCTTTCTGTTCAAGACTTAACGAAGGCCTGTATTGATATGTGCTACCGTGACATGTTATACATTTGCTCTGTTTATATTAATGAATCCAAAACGTTCGTAACTTAAAAATTAACCGCGTGGCCCTCTGCTATAGGGCAATTTTCCCAATGTGGTCCTGTAGACCCAGGACTGAGGCTGTAGACCCAGGACTGAGGCTGTAGACCCAGGGCTGAGGCTGTAGATCCAGGACTGAAGAGGACTTTCTTATGTATTCGCACCAGCTCTACACGAGAGCGATTCTTGAATCAAACTGAACCAGTCAAAGTGTTTCTTCGCCTGTGGACTGTAGAGTCCGTAAACGTCTTCAGTCTGTTCTTGAGAAACTGAAATGACTCCGGCGTGTTGTGTGGGCGCAGCCTGTTCGCAGCAGCATGTGTTTCCCCAGAGCCAGAGAGACGGATCCCAGTCCAAATCTCTCTTTCACTATCGTCACTGTCTCACTGTTGAAATCCCTGTTTACCACTAATTTGAGACGCTTTTCAGTCTCCTTATCAGACTCTTGACTCACTCGTTTAGTCTTGTGGCTTTTTTTGCATGAATAAGATGAAGAGACCCTTTATTCGGCTCTCAGTGGGGAGATTTCAGTGTTGCATCACCGGTTACAGAACAGTGGGAATGAGGAACACACAGCACAAGATGAGTGAATAATAAGTCTAGCACGACAGTATATTTAAAATAACATGAAACTTCTATCTTTAGCTTAATAAAGAAGCAGTATAGAGGTTTTGCACCACCATGTGACCTACATAGCAACCGTCACTAAGCGGCAATGTTAGATGGCAGGTATGAAACTTTATACAGTCAGATTCAACACAGTGGCCGAGAGCGCACCTTTACTTAGGGTGTGTTCAGACCTGCACTTTTGCTCCACTTTAAACGGACCAGGATTCGTTTGGAACTCTGATCCGAAGCTTTTATGCAGGTCTGAATACACACAAACGAATCCTGGTCCGGACCAAAGAACCGAACCGAGACCCACGTTTTGAGGTGGTCTCGGTCCGCTTCCAAACGAATTCTGGTCCAAGTCGAATCAGGTCTGAATACATCCGGTGTTGATCCGACACAACTCCAAGATACGTGCGCATTTTTTGGGCTTAACAAGCTGCAGACAGAAACTGTGAATTAGCCACGCAGCGGCTAACTATGCTGCTAACGCTACACAACAACACTGAGCCGTGTGCAGACCTGGAGCAGTGAGGAGACGCTGTGCAACAGGCTTATGGAGTTAAAACTATTCACAGTATACATTGATGTTAATGGCAGCATCTTCAAACCATTTGCATTATTAAAAGCCTGACACTGTTTGACTCACGTCTCAAAGAGCAATATTCTGCATCATGTAGTGAATTGTGTTCTTTGGTTCCTACCTGATCCTCGGCGTCTGTTTGTCCCGTGGTTATTATAGATCCATGGTTTATCCACAATGCTGAACAGGGCCGTTATTATCATAGATCCATGTGTGGGACAGGGCACGGAGCGCACAGACAGTCCCCTTCGGCTTTCTCCTCACGCATTCTCCGACGCTATTCCAATATAAAACAACGTGTTTGGCCTGTGTCATATGAGCTGCTGCTGTTGATGTTTAAGGTGGTTTTGCTCTAAAAAGAGCAAACATAGGCAGAGCAGACATGCTGCAGATACGAGCCCTCAATGTTTTCTGCCGGTTACGCGTCTATCCTCCGTGAGCTCTCGCTGTCCAATAGGAGCGCCAATCGTCACACGTGTCAATATGTTTATATAAAAAAGTTCACTTGCAAAAAATACAGTCTGAATACGAACCGGAGCAAAAGAAAAAAAGTTTGGTCCGCTTTTGATTCGGATCAAGCAAGCGGAGCTGTGACGGAGCGCCAGTGAAGGTCCTGAGTTCGAATCCCGGCCGGACCAGGGCCTTTCTGAGTGGAGTTTGCATGTTCTCCCTGTGTCTGCGTAGGTTTCCTCCGGGTACTCCGGTTTCCCCTACCACTAAAAATATGTACAATAGGTCTGGCATGCGCCTCCTGTTCTGCGACCCCGCTCCCATCTCTGTGTGGAGTGAGAGGACAAGTGCCCAAAAAATAACAATTGTAAACCGCTTTGTGACTCTGGTCTGTGAAAGGCGGTATATAAATAAAGATTACTTGCTTACTTACTTACAGTGACTGCTCCGTCATAAACTGTGTGGTGCTCTTTCTCCCTGCGCTGAAGAGAGGAGCGCGTCTGTGCCTGCGGCATGCCGGCAGGTCCGCGCTAGTAACCGCACGGCCCTGCATCAACACAAACTCTTCCCCTGCCAATACTATCCCCGTAGCGCACAAGGGTGCACACTTGCTGCCTACACACACATCTCATCTTCCCCCATACACAACTCACCTGCTGCTTGTCTCTGTCCACTGGCCAAACCGAGGCACTTCCTGGTCGCACCATATATAGCGCAGGGCGCGCGCATGTGGTGGGCCAGAGGACTCTAATTCTTAGAAGTATTAAAATGTGTCCTTTTTTTCTATTTTGCCTTGATATATGTGGCTATGGAGAGGCATGTTCACACTGAGGAACAGGGAGGGAACTATGTGTGGGATTCCTTTGTTTTATCAGTTTAGAAGAAACCCCCTGTTAATTATTAATGGGTTAGCCCAGGGGCGGGGCTAACCAGTTAAAAGAGTGCGTGCTCACTCCTGAGAGGTGGTTCTGTCAGTCTGTGAGTGAGCTGGAGTGAGCTGTACTGGAATTGAACCCAAACTGAGCTGGCTGTAAGTCCTGTCTGTTTTTGTGAGTCTGTTGTTTTTTTCCTGCACTGTAAATATTTTTCACTGTTCACTGTTTTGGTGTGTAAATAAAACCACCACAATTTATTTTCCCGTCTGAGCCATCATTATTCCCATCATTTTTAAACGAACCCTCACAGGAGCAAAGGACTTTTTAGGTCTGAATACACCCTTAGACTGATGGGAAAGTTTTGCTGCGTCTTTAATTATGGTAAATGCCTAGAGCAAGACAAAGTATTAATACTCTAGTCCCGGAGATACTGTATATATTTTATTATTTTATATGCTGTAAATTCTGTAAATTCTCTATGGTTTTCCAGCAAAAGTACCTTTTTTACCTTTTAATTTGAGTCACTTTTCTATCTTGTTTATCTGACTCTTGACTCGATTCAATTCAATGTATTCTAGTATAGCTTTAAATCACAACAATTCCAGGTCCTGGGTTTGAATCCCGAGTTTGCATGTTCTCCCCGTGTCTGCGTAGCTTTCCTCCGGGTACTCCGGTTTACCCTACCACTAAAAAAATGCACACTAGGTAAAATCCTCCAGCTTCGGTAGTCCTGACCAAGCCGAGCATTAACATCTGGAGATGGGTTGTTACTACGGCGACCACTGCTCCTGACGTAAGCCTTAGCGGCATCAGGATGGGTCAAATGCAGAAGACAAATTTCCCAACGGGGACAATAAAGTGCACATTTACAACAGAGGACTTTACAAAGCTGTAGATTTGCCAAGACAGATCAGAAAATCAAATGGTCTCACTCGCTTCTCGCGGCTTCCTTCGTGTAAATACATTCTGACTTCTTGTTTTCCAGCAAAAGTACTTTGACTCCGGAGACTACAACATGGCCAAAGCCAAGATGAAGAACAAGCAGCTCCCGGTGGCCGGCCCGGACAAGAACCTGGTGACGGGCGACCACATCCCCACGCCACAGGACCTGCCCCAGAGGAAGTCCTCACTGGTCACTAGTAAACTGGCCGGCTAGCCCCACCCCTCCCCCACACCCAGGCTACGACCCACACGCCTCCGCCACGCTCCACCCCCCTTTTGGCTTCAACACATCAGGATGGATGGATGATGGATGGTTGATGGATGGATGATGGATGGATGGATGAATGGAGGTACGAATGGATGGATGGACGGATGGATGGATGGATGGACGGACGGAGGAATGGATGGATGGATGGATGGATGGACGGACGGAGGAATGGATGGATGGATGGATGGATGGACGGACGGAGGAATGGATGGATGGACGGACGGACGGAGGAATGGATGGATGGACGGACAGATGGACAAACGGATGGATGGATTTTATTGTCACACGACAAGCATGGGTCTCAGAGGCTTACCGGAACAGGGTCGTATTTATTGGACATTTATGAATTTGTAACTATGTAAGTTTGAGAAATGTTAGGGATGTTTTTGTTGTTTTTAGTCACCGCTCTAGCTCCTGCTTTTGACACTTCCTGTTTGAGAGTTTAGCCCCGTTTCCACCAGTCCTTGTTAGTCCTATTCTACTCTACTCTACTTTACTTCTCTACTCTACTCTTCCCTACTCTACTCTACTCTACCCTACTCTTCTCTACTCTACCCAACCCCTACCCTACCTCTACCCTACTCTACTCTTCTGGTCCTGAATAACACGTATCAGGTCCTTATTTAGTCCCTCCTGGTTCTATCCAGGCTGAGCTGGTTCGAAAGTGATCTATCTGACAGTGATTGGTCAGAGTGCTGCTGGAAGCCATGGTAACCAAAGAATTCACCTGGATACTGGTTTGTTGTCAGTAGGTTGCAGGAATCAAGTACCAGACACTAAAACGTAATCGAAACGCAACCAGAGTTAGAGCCGAGTAGAGCCGGGCCAAGCAGGGCTGGTGGAAACAGCACTTTTGGCTCACATTATCAGGGACTATCAACTATATAGGGACCAGAAACTCAACATTACGGACACTCTCCTTAAATTACTGCTAACTATAATACTACCACACACAAACATGCAAACACACAAGTACAGAACCGCACTCCACTTTAGAATGGAGAGTTTTGAACTTTCAAAGCCCACCTCAGTCAGCGAAACACACATTATCACTCGACCCTGTCTTTTTCTCCACTGACATTTAAATAACAATCGTTTTACGGACAGCTCTCACGCACAGCAAACCTTTTTATAGATCAGTATTTGAACACCGTCGTCTCATGACCGTCTTAGGACTTGTTTAACCGAACAGTAGCAGATTATTGCCTCTGACCTTGTTTCTTACTGAGGCTCTACTTCTGCCGGAGCACGACATTAACCATTATGGATGCTTAAAGGGGCGGTGCGGTGCTAACTCCCCTCGTCACAGCTTTTGACCATGGTATACTTGTTTTCTCTGTCGTTTATGCAGTTATTCTTAGAGCTTGCATAATGGAGTGATTCATATTCTGAAGCTGAGAGTCCATCGCTCTCAGCTGCACTCTCTGTCTGTTCTTTCTGGTTCTCTGCTCACGAGTTCCCTGACTGAATCTATAATACGCAGGTGATTCGGCAGCGTTGCACATGCTTTTTTTGGTTGAAGAGGGGGGGAAAAATCAGCTGATCGCTAACTTTATTTGCAGTCTGAACATAGCGTGTGTGACCAAGATTTTGCTAACAGAGAAAAATCTTGAGAGGTAGTTTGAGATAAAATGTATTTTTTGAGAGAGACAATAGTAAAGGTACAATCCTTAAAACTGTTTTTAACCTGGATTTGAACATTGTCAGAGAAGAAGCCTGTCTCACATCTTCAGGAAGACTGTTCTAGATTGTAGCGGCATAAATCTAAAATGCAGTCTCCCCATGTTTAGTCCTGACTCTGGCACCAGCAGGAGGCCAGTCCCTGTGCTCCTCAGAGTCCCAGAGACTTGTAACAAATAGATCTGATTAAAAGTCTATTCTCTGAGCCACAGGTGCAGAGACCTGACACCAGGACTAATGTGGTGGTACTTCCTGGTTCTAGTCTACTGCAGCTGTTTTAACCCTTTTCGGAGAGACAAGAGAGCAGACCAGTACAGAAATCTAACCTACAAGAGACAAATGCCTGGAATGAATTGACTAATATACATTTTGGTCAATTTAGACAACATTAAATGATTAGAAAAACCAAAGTTGAGGCCCCAAAGTACTTCTAACATATTTGTCATTTTTCCAACAAGCTTTCACTGCGACAAACTTGGCCCAAATTCCACCACAACTTTATAATGTTGTGATGAATAAAACGGCCCCCTCCGTGCTGTACGCTGATTTACATTCTGCTGATCTGTCGACTGGGATACATGTAATTTGACTCAGCAGATTACTTCAGCGGCTGTTGCATAAATAGGCGATTAGAAGAATCCTAAAAGATTTGCGGGAAGATTGGGCACAAACTGCATATATTTTGTGTCTTCGTAAATTACGGTCAACATTCTTGTGTAAATCATTGTGACATCGGTCCATACTAAAAAAGAACTTAACATGAAAAGCCGGATGATTGGATTGCCTCTCTGGTCTCTCACTGGTCTCTCACTGGTCTCTCACTGGTCTCTCGCTGGTCTCTCGCTGGTCTCTCGCTGGTCTCTCACTGGTCTCTCTCTCTCTCTGGTCTCTCTGGTCTCTCTGGCCTCTCTCTAGTTTCTCTCTGGTCTCTCTCTGGTCTCTCTCTGGTCTCTCTCTGGTCTCTTTCTGGTCTCTCTCTGGTCTCTCTGGCCTCTCTCTAGTTTCTCTCTGGTCTCTCTCTGGTCTCTCTCTGGTTTCTCTCTGGTCTCTTTCTGGTCTCTCTCTGGCCTCTCTCTAGTTTCTCTCTGGCCTCTCTCTAGTTTCTCTCTGGCCTCTCTCTAGTTTCTCTCTGGTCTCTCTCTGGCCTCTGTCTGGTCTCTCTTGCCTCTTTCTCTAGTCTTTCTGGTCTCTCTGTGGCCTCTCTCTCCCTCTCTGGCCTCTATCTCTGCTCTCTCTGTGTGGCCTCTCTCTCTGCCTGCCATAGCTCTACACCCACACACCCCCACACACATCCCTCTGGTTATGATACCCTAATACTCGGGGTCAGGGGGGAGGAACAGGTGCTCTCCTCTCCCTTACATGCCTCCACACTGCCCTAACCCCAGCGTTTGGCAGCAGGGATCAGGCCGATTCGGTGACTGCTGCTGAGAGGGCAGGGATGGCTCTAAAGCTACTGCCGTTTTCCACGGCCCAACGCCAAATGATTAGATTAGAGGCAAGTCCAAATCTGCTAGTTATAGAAAATGAATGGCAAGAGATTTCAGTTGGTAATGCTGTTAAAGGAAAGGAAAGCCGGCTGAAAGGAAAGCCGACTCTCTATCTTTCTGGCCTCTCTCTCACTGGACTCTCTCTCTGGCCTCTCTGGTGTCTCTCTCCAGTCCTTCTCTGGTCTCTCTCTACCCTCTCTTTATGCCTTCTCTCTCTGGTAGCTCTCTGGTTCTTCCGGTCCAATACCAAAAGAAAAACAAATACAATTTGATGAGAAGTTGTAACATGGTCAAAAGCTTTGAACAAATATTTAGCATAATACAGAACGTGTCCTTTTTAAGACCTAAAGTAATTTAAAATAGTCTCATTCACCCACTCAGTGCTTTTTTGGGCTTTATTAACCACTACTCTCCGACTCATGTGTTCTGTGATGATCATTCTGTAGCCCTAGAGGCATTTTGGCACGAATGAAACCAACACAACTTCACTTGCTGCTCTGACTCTATGTAGCGACGGTGTTTAAGGTTTAAGCAGCGTTTTAGAGAAATATAGAGAGACACTATGTACAAAATAGTTTAATTCAACGTATATAGAGCAACCAGAAGCACATGGAGTCGCTCATCCTGACACCACAAGCCCTGGAGAATCTTAACCGTTAAGAATAATACTGAGAATATTAGTACTTACTATAGCCATTGTTATTATTGTTTTATACAGTAGGCTATAGTTATGGTCTCTATCACTGCTCTCTCTCTGGTCTCTCTCTGGTCTCTCTCTCTGGTCTCTCTCTCTGGTCTCTCTGGTCCCTCTCTGGTCTCTCTGGTCCTTCTCTCTGGTCTCTCTCTGGTCCCTCGTTCTGGTCTCTCTCTCTGGTCTCTCCGGTCCCTCTCTCTGGTCCCTCTCTCGGGTCTCTCTGGTCCCTCTCTCTGGTCCCTCTCTCGGGTCTCTCTCTCTGGTCCCGCTCTCTGGTCCCTCTCTGGTCTCTCTTTCTGGTCTCTCTGGTCCTTCTCTCTGGTCTCTCTCTGGTCCCTCTCTCTGGTCCCTCTCTCGGGTCCCTCTCTCGGGTCTCTCTCTCGGGTCTCTCTCTCTGGTCCCGCTCTCTGGTCCCTCTCTGGTCTCTCTTTCTGGTCTCTCTGGTCCTTCTCTCTGGTCTCTCTGGTCCCTCTCTCTGTTCCCTCTCTCTGGTCCATCCCTCTGGTCTCTCTCTCTGGTCCATCTCTCTTTTTTGTGTGCCATTTGCAGTAAAACCCCATTGGAATAACTGTGCAAGATCCCCCCTGTATACACCTGTGTTCTGAACTCTCTTCACGTCGTCGAGGCTTTTGTTAAACGCTTCTGAATTGTACCAATCAATGCACTGTTTTTGTAAATAGATATGTTTTTGCTTTACTGCTTTTCCGACTCCAGTTCCTCTTTGATAATCTCCGAGTCAGAGAATAACGTAAATGTACATGAAAGCTGCTGATGGACGCACCTTTTTCTACAGATCCGACTTCAGAGGGACTGTTTCGGACTGTGTATTGTTGCGACGTTGTGTTTGATGATCTGTTGTATAAGTTTAAGTAAAGCCAAGATCGACCGTTCGCCAACAACAAACTACTAAGACTCCAACTTTTATATTTGAATTGTATTTTGAGGCCGAGCAGCTCCTGCATGTGGTAAATAATGACTGTAGCTCCTCCTTAATGTTCCGTTCTAAACATTCAGAACGTCAAAAAAGGAAAATTTTACTTTACTTGGTCGTATGGATCAGTTTTTCCCAACCAGTGGTACATGGC